GGGGAGAGCACCTTGGCCCCTGACTGCCCAGCAAGCCCCTCTGTCCAGCACGATCAAGGGCACTGAGGCTGGGCCAGGGGAGAGGTCAGTAGGCTGAGACAGATGACAGCAGGCTGCCCACTGGTCCCAGACAGAAGGGCCCTGCTAATGGACCATGGCCGTCAGGACAGAGCGTAGAGGAGGAAGACTGGGTGCCAGGGCCGGGGCACCACGGATGCGGAGGGAAGCCACTGGGCTGCTCCTTAGATGCCTTCTCTCCTAGTCTCCCTCTCCCATCCTCTCAGGACAGACAGATTTTTGGATTAACACAAAAAAACACACACAGTCATGAGACCCAATGGTGGTCTCCAGCCAAAAAGACAGCCCCACTGACCCCTACCTCCTGTACTCACACTCTTGTACCGTCCCCTTGCACACCGTTCAGTTACTCTGTGTGACCACAGAAGACAACCCCACTTGTGTATGGTACTTCTGAGATTACATTTTGAAGGATACTGCAGCTTCTGTCCTGGTCTCCCCCCCTTGGCCATTGTGCTCTGGGGTCAGCCAGCTGCTGTTTTGTGAGCAGCCTTTGGAGAGGCCCAGGTTGGGAGGAAACCAGCTTCCTGCCAACAGCCACACGAGTGAGCTTAGGAGTGACTGTCCAACCCCAGTCAGTACTTCAATGACTGTGGCCCCCAGAAGACAGCCTTCACCCAACCGTGCTGTCACCCCGATCTCGGACTTTTAGCCTCCAGAACTCTAAGAGATAAATTTATATTGATTATAAACTACCCTGTCTGTGGTATTTTGTTATACCAGTCTGAAGAGATTCAGACAGACTCTGAGCCAAAACCACCCGGCTAAGCCATTCCCAGATTCCCAACTCTTGGAAACAAGGAGATAATAAATGATGGTTGTTTAAAGATGCCAAGTTTGGAGGGGTAATTTGTTACACAGCAATAGATATCTAATATACCAACTCTATCTCTTCCTAACCTTCCAACTCTAGAGTGTACCATTTTTAACAAAGGTTCTGGAACCTGCTACTGAAAGCTGTGTGATCTTGAGTAAGTTACTCAACCTTTCTATGCCTCAGCGTCTCATCTGTGAAACAAGGATAATAATGTTTGTACCTACCCGGGGGAGCTGGCACAGGTGTAAATAAGTCTAGGCAAGTGCGCAGTGCATAGTCAGCCCTAGATGTCAACTTTACCTATTATCAAGCCAGCCATGTCTTCTCTTGGTCTCTAGTTTCCTCATCTGTAAAATGGGGATGTATCCCTCCCAGGGCTCTCAGGAGAATGAAATGAGACGCTGGATGGGAAAGCACATCGCTGTCTCCATCCCTGGGCAGGTCACCTGGCAGAGGCCTCAGTGGGCGCGTCCACGCAGTCCTTGATCCGCCAGTCCATGACATAGCCGATGAGAGGGCAGGTGAGAAGGCACAAGAGCTGCATGGCCCCGAAGACGTAGGAGTAGAACTCCACTGGGCAGGGCCGGGTGAGAAGTGGGGTCAGGATCCAGCACGAGGGATGCCAGCACTGTCACCCACCTCAGCAGAGGAGAGGGGATGCCAGAACAGCCTTCCTCGGACCCTAAATTCTTAGATCGCCCAAACGCCCAGAGTGACAAAGCTGGGCCCAGGCTCCCTGGGTGGTGGGCACTGTCTGGGGTGGGAGTGGGCCAGGGCCCCAGCTTTGATCCCCCTACCTGTCTCTGTCTCCCTTTGTTTCAGGCTGTCCGTCTCTGTTGGGGGCAGAAGGGAGAAGCCAGGGTTAGAGGAGCTTAGGCAGGGGTCCCTCTTGCACCCGCAGCCCCCAGTGGGCTCTGCAGCACCTCACCATGCTCCTGGCCGCGGGTCACCAGGTACTCCAGCATCTTGTTCATGGCGGCCATGTAGAATATGATCCGCAGCTGGGTCATGCCCATGGTGAGGAGGCTCCACAGGAAAATGGGGGAGCAGAGGCTCTTGCGCAAGGGGACAGACTCTGCGGAGACAGCAGGGGGCGCCCCCGAGCCCCAGCGCTTCCATGTGCCTCTGCGCGACCCAGCTGATGCCATTCTAGAGGGGCTCTGACCCTAACTGCTAGACTTTGGAGAGGGACCGGTGTCCTCAAAAAACGAGGGTTCAGCCTCACCGGCCTCCAAGTGCTTGCCCGGCTCTATAACGATCTCACTAGAACATCCTCAGCTGACCTCTGGATGTGTACCCTAGGCTTGGGGTGGCGGTGATAACTCTGGCTACTGTTTATTAAACGCTGACTCTGTGCCGCACACTTGACATGTATTAACCCATGGAGTACAACAACCGTCTCCTTAGCACGTTTTACAGAAGGAGAAACTGCAGCACAGAGAGCTCAGTGACTTGCTCAAGTTCACAGGGCTGGAAGCTGCCGGTTGGCTAGACTCAGCTCATGCCCGTATCAGCTCCGCTGTGGGAGGATAGGCAGTAGGGGTCACCTTCAATCTGCACAGCATTCCAAAGTTTACAAAGAGCTTCCACGTCCCCAGATTCCTTCAATCCTCAGCTAACTTCCCTGAGAGCTGGGTGTTCTCAATGCTAATTTAAGAGGCAGGGGTAAGTGAGGGGATTGTGATTCTACCCACGTCACATGGCCTGTAACTGGCTGAACTCAAACCCCCATCTCCTGACTGCAAGGCCCATCTTTTTTCCACTAATCTTGGAGCTGACCCCGTGCCAAGAGGTTGAGGCTGAAGGCAAGCGCAGCTCCCCTGTAGCCAGCAGGGGGCGCCAACCAGCCAGGCGTCAAAGGACCCAGCCTGGAGGCTGGCCCACCTGCCAGGACCTGGTGCAAGAGGCTCAGAGACTGCAGGGAACCGTGATGAAACCAGCTCTCCCACAGGCCTGGAGACCCTGCCCCATTCTGGAAGCTGCTCCCTCCCTCATCCCAGGAATCCAGCAGAGTATCCCTGAATCTGAGCTTCCCAGAGTTCTCTGAGCTTTGACTTTGCCCCCATTCTATACCTAGGGAGCATGCCCACCTGTATGAGGGGTGCTGTCAGAACTAAAGAAGGGAGGATGAGCACTTAGGCGTGAGGACCTAAGGCTGGCACCTTGACCAGACACTCACTCTCAGCTGACTTGACTGAGGTGCCACGAACATCCTGGGATGAGATGAAGGTGTCCACCCCCTCCTCCAGGCTGGAGGCCTTCTGGCTCAGCCACTGGCCCACGGCGGTCAGATAAGTGTAGAAGCGGTCACCTGTCACCTTGTGATCCAGGGCCAGCTCTTTGAGCTTGATCTTCTCCCTGCCAGCAGTCAGGCCACAGCATGTGGGGACCAGCAATGCAGAGCCCACCCTCAACAGCCTGCCTATGGGTCGGGGGGTTGTTCTGGGGTGCCAAGGCCCCCTTTACCCAGCACCGACATGGCCACTGACAAGCTCCCAAGCGCGGGGCTTGTGTCTGTACGGCTCAGGGTCCAGCCCAGGGGCCAGCTCAGCACCTGGGAGTGAAGGGTGGATGAGCTATTTTCTGCTAGGACTGCTGTCACAGAGGTAGCATTAAGAACTCAGACTGGGGGTGGGGGCAAGTATAGCTCCGAGGCAGAGCACATGCTTAGCATGCACGAGGTCCTGGGTTCAATCCCCAGTACCTCCATTAAAAACAAAACAAAACTCAGACTCCAGAGTCAGAGAGCCTGGTTCCAACCTTAGATTCACCCTCACCCCCACCTTTCAATGGTATGACCCTAGGAGAGTCACTCTGTTCCCCGTGCCTTTGTTATTATCTGAGTTAATAACAGAATCCACATCGCAGGGCTGTCTGGGGATGGGCTGAGCACGGCACCTGGCTCACAGGAGACGCACGAACAGTACCGGCAGTTATTGGACTGGCACTGTGTGTGCTCGGCTGCGAGCATCACCCCAGTCCCCTGGGGAACTGATGGGGGTATTGGGAAAAGTTGGCATTCAGGTTGCCCCACAAAGGGTGGGATCTGCCATTCTTTGTCTCTCCTCAATCTAGGTCCACATGGCACTGTTGCAGGGGTCCCTCCTACTCTGATCCCATCCTCCAAACCTGGAAAGAAGAGTAGTAGTCACCACGTTTTGAATGCCCGTTATATGCCAGGTCTGCTTATCACACCGGCAGGCGGGTGGGATCAGGCCCATGGTTCAGAGGAGAAAGCAGAGCTAGGAAAGCTCAGGTGATTGGCAAATCCAGGTTTCTCTGACTCCAAAGCTGATTCTGTCCATCACACCCTCACACCCTGGCCTCTGGAGGCCCCTTCCACCCCCAGCCCTCCAAGGCCATTTACTTGTAGTTGACTTCCTCCGGTGAGGGAAAGGCCTCCCCTGGCCAGTTGAGGGCACAGTTCAGAAAGATGAGGCAGGCCAGGCCCGACCAGGTGAACATGATGACCATGAAGGACACGCCAGCATCATAGATCAGCTGTGGAGGAGGGGGCAGGCCCATGGAGGAGGCCGCGCGGCCCCAGACCCACCTCCTCCAGCCGGAGACAGAACCCAGGCCCCAGAGGGCTGAGAGAAGGTCTCCCCCACCCGTTCCTTGAGCCCAATTTGCAGATGAGGAAACCAGAAGTTAAAAGTCAGACCTAGAAGCCCCGCCATCTTCTTCCTTTTTTGCCTCAGCCCCCACCAAGAGGTGAGAAAAAGTTCCCAAAAGGTGCTGAAGTTGCTGGCCACAAGCTCAAAATGTCTTTGAAATCAATTATTATCTCAAAAAGAGACACCAGTGTTGTCTTTGGCTCCAGACACATGTTCGTTTTTGTACCAACGTCATTTCACTTTATGTACAACAGAGGAGAATTAAAACTTCTAACCGTGTTTATCCTGCCCTTTCCCGGGCAGGTTCCCTGAGCGAAAGACAAACCCAGTCGGAGAAGCCTTGTCTCACTTTTCACAGGTGCTCCCGGGTGTGACAGCCGAGGAGGGAGGCGGTTTGTGCAAGTGCTGGGCCCATGGCCTCCTAACTCCAGGACAAGTAGGTTTTGTGTTGATTGGGATTCTATGCCAATGTCTCAGTCCCCTTAGTGAGGAAACCAGGTACAGATAGACGTCCCGCCTGCCACCGTCTGCCTGGGGTGACTACTGTGTGCCGTCCCGCCAGGCTCCAGCTCACAGCTCCAGTGCTGCCTGGGGAAACTTCTGCCAGTCCTCAGCCTCAAGCCTTGGGGCTCTTTCTTCCCAGGGAGCAAGATAGAGCTTCAAGGGGCCACACCCTCAAAGATCTGGCTCCTCAAATCCCACTGAGGGAAGGGAGAACCCCACCCTTCAGACCTGCTCCTACCTGAACAACTGTTGGCCACCCCCACCGGTGCGCTCTCCAACCCCTCTGGGAACACTGAGCAAGAGCCTTCTAAACTAACAAGTTAACTGTCCAAGGCTGAATCTGAGGGGCATGCTACAGCCCATTTGAAATGCTGCTTTGATATCAGTGGGAGCAACAAGGCCCCAGATTTGCCCAGAACTAGAACTCAGGCCTTCTGGCTCTAGGTCCACCAGGCTGACCTGCCTTGGGAGCTGGCCTGGCTTGGACTAGCTTGGTGATCATGGACCCGAGCCACCTGGCCTCCCCCAGGGCAGAAGAAGATGTGGGTGTAGGGCTAGAGAGTTGTGGGCCTGGAATGCATGTAAAGGGGTTGGACTTGATTCTGTAGGCAGAGCAGAGCAGGTATGGGAGCCAGTCCTGCATCTAAGATCATTCTGGAAGTCATGTGAATGACAGCTTGGAGAGGGAAAAGACTGGAGGCAGGGAGACCAGCACTGGCCCAGGAGAAAGGACAAAGGCCTGGACTTGGGTAACGGAAAAGGGAGGGAGGAGATCAGAGAAATCAGACCCACTGGTCCACAGCAACACCTGGGCTCTTCCCATGATGCTTCAGTGTTTTTCCCTGCGGTGGGAACTGACCCCTGACTGGCAGGAAATGGGTCACCAGACATACTAGCCACCATGCACTCAGCCAGCTCTTGTGTCAAGGCAGAAAGAAAGCCCAGGGACAAGGCGGGGAACAGCTCGGTGGCAGAGTGCATGCTTAGCATGCACGAGGTCCTGGGTTCAATCCCCAGCACCTTCATTAAGTAAATAAATAAATAAACAAACCTAATAACCTCCCCTCCCCAAAAAGAAAGCCAGGCTACCTCACCGACCCCCTCAAAGCAACTGCATACCTTGATTACCGGGTACGTGATGGCCGAAGAGGCGTAGGAGCCAAACATGAGGGCCATGAATGTGGAGCGCAGGTTCCCAAACATGTTGGGCAGCTGAGGGAGGAGAGCGGCACCAATGAGCAAGGGGAGACCCTGACACCTGCCCAGGGCTCCCCTTTCTTGGCCCCACCCAAGAAAGCTTGGAAGCTTCTCACCCAGCTATCCTCAAACTTCGCTCCAGGAACACTAGCCCCAGAGTGGCAACAGAGAAGTTCTAAGGTAAAACCAGTGTCAGAAACTGTGCTATAATCCCCTCCCACCCACAGAAGTGCCCTTAAAGAGAAATTCTGTGTAGCCCCAAGGTTTCCCAAGTTAGTTGTTTACAGAGACCCTTAATCATGACAGGTCTCTTAGCCCACAGAATAAGAAAGCTGATCTAGTGTAACTTATTTGACAGGTGAGAACACTGAGGCTCAGAGAGGGAAAGAAACGTACTCAAGTTCACAGGGCACATTAGTGACTTTCTCTCCTGTTCTGGCCATCCTAGCTCTACCCCAGACCCCAAGGCTGTGACCATGACTGGCTCTAATAGTATGGTGCCCCTTAACCTTCTCCATGGCCCCAAAGGCCCTAGTCCATGGTTTCTGCTGAACCAAGACAAGTAATAGGATGACTAGGGAGGTGAGGGTGGGAGTAAGGAAGGGGACTGGGCCAGGCCAAGTGTCCAGAAGATATAGTTCTGACATTCAGAGCAGGTCCAGAATTCCCACCAGTACAGAACTGATAATGTATTTTGCTCACTGGCCTGAGTCAGGCCCTCAGGGGAGGGGAAAGCAAAGTCAGACAACCCCTTGTGATCCTCCACCCCTCCCCTACTCCCCCAGTCAACAGATCCCATAGCTGGAAGAGTCTTAGATGCCATACAAAGCTTAAACCCTCTCCACAGAGTGGGAAACCGAGGCCCAGAAAGGGATCTCAAATAGCTCTGGAGAGGAAGGCGAATAAACACAGAGAATTGACCCACCGACCTTCAAGAGTCTTGAAAAAGGGGTGGGGCCAAGCTGACCCCACTTGGGCAAAGGTTTTCCTGGCACCGTGTGTCTGCAAGGCACGCTGCCAAGGACGACAGGGAAAGTGCCAGGGCCAGGCCGGGCCTTTGGCACTCCCCCAAACCCCCGCCAGGGTCTGAGAGCTCTGTCTCCACCCAGCACCCCGCTAGCCAGCCTGGCTAACAAGGAGCAGCACTGGACGTCCTGGCTCTGGCCTCGGAGCACAGAGGTCCAGGGGCGGGGCCGGCTCAGGGGGCGGAGCCGGAGTCGAGCCCTGCCATTGGTTAGAGACTACAGGCGGTGCAGCAGGGGGCGGAGCAGGGGGCGGGCTGTGGGCCAAGGGCCCCTAGGCCTCAGGGCAGGGTCAGAGCTCAGGCCCCGAAGGGCGGGGGAGAGAAGGGATTTAGGGCCTTGAACCAAGTTGTACAGAGTGGAGAAGGGGCTGAGGAGCGAGGCGAGGAGGAAGGGATCCGCTTCCTTAGAGAGTTGTGAAATGTCCTGGGCTGGAATTAAAGGCGGCTGCAGGGCGAGGTGATATTCAGACAAAAACACCCAGTTTGGCGTTCAGGCGGCCCTCCCTCTTCCCTCTTCCCTCTTCCCTCTTCCGAGATCGCCTGAGGCTGGCCCAGCCAGGAACCCCTCCCCCAACCACACGCTCCTAAGACTTTAACCCTTATGCTCACTCGTTCACATATATACTTAGAGTAACACACCCCAAACACACATGTAAGAGGTCAAGCCCCGTGGAAAAAAACGTTTTTTTGTCGTCCACAACTTTATATGGTTCAACCTAACACACAAATACAGTCACCCAGGCACGGACAGCATCGCACGCACACAACATGCAAACATACACCCACTGTCTCAAGCTATCCCTTCCCCTTATTTTAGTATTACCCAGTTTCACTCTTTCCAGCACTTAGGACTAGGGACATCATTTATTAGTTTACTTGTTTTTAGGGTTACCTGTTCCCCTACCCCTGATTATAAGTTCCAGAAAGGTGAATAAGTTGTCAGTTCTGTCTGTGCTGTGGCCCCAGCGCCTAGAACACAGCTCAATAGGCATAAGGGCTCAGGACACACACACAACAACATCTATACGGACACGGTCTTATCCACACATACGCAGCCTCACACCCACCCATCGCTGCAGCGAGCACAGTTTCACACACACATTTGATCTGCGTCCACTGACCCGTCTCCCACCCACACCCTCCCTCACCCCTACCCCCCACTGCACTCCTGGGTGCACATACTCACTGTGAGTGAGGAGAATGTCAGGCAGATGCCACCAAAACCATTCAGGGACAGCGCCAGGAATATCAGCGGAGACAGAACTGGGAAGGGGGGAGGGATGGATGAGGGCATTTGGGGAGTTGTGGGAGGCTAAAGACAGGAGCTGGGGTAATATCCACCTTCATCCCACCCACTCCTTTTCACGAGAGGCCAGACATCTCACCTTCGGTGTCCCGAGAGGCCAGGGCCATAAGGGTGCAGGATGCAGCGAAGCAGGCACTGCAAAGATGCGGGGAAGGGGGAGAGGTTGAACGCTGTGCCTCCCTTCCCCCTACAGCCCCAGTCCCAGCCCTCCAGCTCCCCACCAGCTCCCCACAGCCTGGCCACCTCACCTGCCAATCAGCCTGGTGGGCCGGGGACCAAAGCGGTCCATGAGGATCCCCAGTGGCAGAGTGGTGGCACTGAGCACAAAGGAGCCGATGGTGAAGCCCAGGTTGAGCATCTCTTCCTGCTGGTTACAGCTCAGCCACTGGTGCTGCTCATCCTGGGTGGTGTTGGTGGTGTTCTCAGCTGAGAGAGGGAAGGGAAAGGCAGCACATGGCTGCAGGAGAAGCTGGGCAAGGAGAGTGGCTGGGATCAGGGGTCCTGCACTCAAATCCCATGCCTCCACTTGACTGCTAGTCAGGTGACTTTGGAGGTGGCCTGGAATCATGTCCATTCCGGTGGAGAAGGGAGTCTATAAATGGCAGCAATCAGTATCTGACCCGGGGACAGTCACATACCCAATCTGAGGCCTCAACTAGTTTAAACGTGATAATGGACACCAAAGTACTTACCAAATTGTAATATGCACTCAATGTCCAAACTTAGGGGGTTGCAGATCCCCAACAGGAACCACCCTCAAATCTAGGGATGACATCAGTGAGTGATGCTCAACTGCTGTAACAAGAATTCACTTAAAACTTAGAGGAGGGGGGAGGGTATAGCTCAGTGGTAGAGTGTGTGCTTAGAATGCACAGGTCCTGGGTTCAATCCCCAGTACTGTCATTAAAAAATAATAAATAAATAAACTTATTTACATCACTCCCCCCCAAAAAAAACTTAGAGGAAACTTTGCCCATAGATGACATTCTGATAAAATAATAACTAATAGTTATTGAGCATTTAACTATGCTCTAGGCATGTTCTCAATGGTCACAGTATTGATTCACGACAGCCCCATGAATCAGCTTACAAAGTATCCCCATTTTCCAGATGGTGAAACTGAGATGCAGAAGTAGGACCACAGCACTGTCCTCCAGTACTCCTTCAGATGTTCACCTCTGAGAAAACTCACCCTCCAGGTAAAATGCCAACTTGGAGTTGTGGTAGGTTAATGAGAAAGGCTGGTGGTGGGGGAAGCAGGGGGGTTCACTTCACCCAATGCTCAGTGAGTCCTGAGGGGTCTACTCCCCTGTCTCCTATCTGTTACTTTTGCATCATTTATTGCCAAGGGCAAACTCAGGGTGTCCCTGGAAGGCAGAAAGACCGGGGTCTGAATTCCCACCACCATCGCTATCAGCTGTGCAACCTTGGACAAGGAATTCCTCTGAGGCTCAGGCCCTCTGCCTGTAAAAGGGAGCAGAGGATGCCTAACCCACAGACTCCTTAGGAGATTCAACAGGAGAAGAGAAACGAAGGGCTTTGCACAGGACCCGGCCCAGAGAAGGGGCTCCTGAAACAGCTGATGGGTAGATGTGCTGAGCCTCTTCTAGAGGTGCTGGGGATCCCACAGTGAACGAGACAGGAAGCTCTCAGCTCTCACAGGGCTTGGATAATAAACAAGGGAACAAACGGACCCTGATATTAAGAATAGTAGGTGCTGGGAAGAGAACAAAACAGGAAGAGGTGATAGTGCCTGAAGGCTGGGAAGGGGAAGTATCTGCCCTTGATGGTGACCATGACCCTGGACTTCAGATATACCCGGAGGGCATGCAGGCGGCAGTGACCTGTGTGCTCACATAAGGAAGAACATAATGAGTCATTTCCAGATCATGAGTGCATGGTGATGGGCTGCGGGAAAGCTGGGGAGAGGGCTCAGACACCTGGGAGAATAGGTGAGGATTCAGACCACACAATCTCTGAGGTTCAGGTTAGCCCGTCCCCTAATTTAGTGGTGTTTATCATCGCTGTTCATTTCTCCACCACACATCTACTTACTGTGTGACAGGCACTGTATGGGAATTCCGTGTAAGGCGGGGAGAAATGCAAAGATAATTTAGACCAGAGGCTGCACACAGGTGACCAGCAATGAACCCCATACATATTTGGACCCCACACATGTTTGGATTGTCTTGGCTCGCAAATTGTAATCAGATGCCAGTTTATTATTTATTTTTTGGGGTGGGGGGAGATAATTAGGTTTATTTAGCTATACCATCCCACCCAACTCTGCTCCCTATTTATTAGCTGTGTGACCTTGGGCAAATTACTTAGCATCTCTGAGCTCCAGCTTTCTCTTCTATACAAACAGATTTGTTGTGAGGACTAAAAATCTAAACAGCAAATTGTAAATGCTTAATGAACTGTAACCATTGTTTTATTATTTTGGCACCTATGCTGGATATGCACTAGTGTGGGATAAAATGAACTGCCGCTGCCTAGCATCTGAGTACCAGTTCCCTCTCTAGCTGTGAGGCTCCTACAGATGGGTCAACCATCCACCCCAGGGTGTACCTCAAAAGAGGGAGAGCTGAGAAGACAGAGGGTGTGGCCAGGGAACCCCAAAGCCGCCACCCATGAGCACCTCGATAACGAGCTCCCCATTTGTTAAATGGCATCATCGGGTCCTCACGTCATTTCTCCGCAGCGAGGAGGACAAGGGTGGTCCACTTCATCTTACAGACATTCAAGTGGAGATCCAGGGAGGATGGGGGACTTGCCTAAGGTCACTTAGCAAATGCTGGCAAAGCTGGGTCCAGAACGAAACAGGAAAACACGCCTGCAGTCTGAATTTTGTGTGCTAGCTCCAGTTCATTTTCACAATAGCCCCACAAGATAAGGATTGTTGCTGGTCCCATTTTACATACGGGGTAACTGAGATATTAAGAAAGTTAAGGGGGGAGGGTATAGCTCAGTGGTATAGCTCAGAACCTTCCAGGTATCAACTCTGCCATTTATAAGTGTGTGACAATTTTTTCACCTCCCTGAGCCTCAGTCTTTCCATCTGTAAAATGGGCGTAGCCAGAGCATCTAACTCCTAGGGATTTTATAAGTGTTAAGTGCATGAATAATTTTTAAAGTACTTGAAATCATGCTTGGCATGTGGTAAGCACTATACAAATGCTTGTTAAAAT